AGCATGAACGTGTGTATGACGTGCATTATAGGGAAGAGTACGATGATCACTCCCGACAGAACGCAAGGGTATTCAGCGTGAAAGTGACGTTCACTGGGAAAGTAAGTATTTCTGCTTGCCTTGATTATCTCTCTTCGACGAACGCGAACGCGATGTTTCACTACAAGCCCGAGGTACTGCAGACCCTGAACATTGTGGCGGGCTATTATCCAAAAACTAGCGAAGAAACAATATCTCTGGGTTCAAACAAACATTTCAACATTGATCCGAGCTCTGTCGAACGGTTTGATTTGGGTGCTGGTCTCGAGGTTCTCAGGGGCTTTTTTGTGAGTGTTCGCGCTGCTACCTCACGATTCCTTATAAATTGTCAGGTCAAATATGCTGCATGCTATCAGGAAGGAAAGCTATCAACGGTAATGGCTGCATACCGACGAGAAGGTCCCCCAAGCGTCTACAGGCTGGAAGCTTTCTTGAAAAGGCTGAGAGTTCGAGTTACCCATATCCGCCGGGTTAATAGCCAAGGCCAAGATATCACACGGTTCAAAACGATCACAGGCTTGGCTTCTCCGGCAGATGGAAAGTCTCTAGCTTACCCTCCAATTGTTCCTAGACACGGTGCTGGGCCCACGGAAGTGCAATTCTGGCTTGAAGGCGTTGGTCCAAAAACCATTGGTAAGGCAAAATCCAAAGGGAAAAGACCCGCCAAGTCCGGACCAGAAGAATACGGAAGGTACACCACAGTCGAGGATTTCTTCCGGGAAAGTACGTGTTTTACCGAATCCCCCGTTTCGGAGCAGACCAGTCCTAACGCCACACCCAGGATACGGGCTCAATGTTGATTCCAATGTGCCAGTAGTTAATGTTGGCACACGTCAAGATCCGTCCTATTTGCCGGTCGAAGTCTGCGTTGTTATAGCTGGCCAGGCCGCGGGAGTCAAGCTGAACAGAAGACAAACTCAGAACATGATCCGATTTGCGGTGCGCAACCCCGCCCAGAATGCTCGATCCATTACGACAAAAGGTGCTGGTGCACTGGGGTTGACACCCCAACTCAATACGACGTTGGTACAGTTTACCTTTCCTTTACTGTTGGGTCATGTTAACCACTCGCAACAGCGATACTTTGGGCTGGATAGTGACCCTACCCTCATAACCGTCCCAGGGAGGGTCTTACAATCACCTTCCGTGCTTTATAAAGACCGCAGGAAGGTGGACGCTCTCGCGGCTAGCTGGAACATGAAGTCCGCAAAGTTCTCCACATCTAGCCGATTGTCATTCTGGGCATTTATTTACCTTGTCTCCGACAGAGAAAGAGTATACTTCGAAAAGCCAGCCGACCTAAAGCCCTGCTTGGCTGCTTTGAGCTCAAAACTAAACGACATGGGTGTTATTGCGAGCCCTGCAATGGATGGAAGGAGACTGGATGTGACAGGGGCCTACTATGATGGAAAATACCAAGCAGCCAAGCTTGATCAAGCCATAACTGATGCTATCACAGAATTGATGAGTAAACATAAACTGGACTTGGTCTTGGCAATTCTTCCCGCCAAAGATACAGATATATACAGCTCAGTCAAACGAGTTTGCGATTTGCACAATGGTGTCCACAAAGTCTGTGTGCTCGAGGAAAAGTTTTTCCACAAAAATGACCAGTACCTCGCCAATGTCTGCTTGAAAATCAATCTGAAGCTCGGTGGCGTGAATCAGGTGTTGGGAACTGATGAATTGGGAATCATCTCCGATGGCAAAACGATGATCGTCGGCATCGATGTCACCCATCCGTCGCCGGGGTCTGCAAAGCATGCACCCAGCGTGGCAGGCATGGTTGCCTCTCTCGATAAAAGGCTTGGTCAATGGCCAGCAGAGATCCGCATCCAGGCATCCCGCCAGGAAATGGTCGCCGCCCTTGATACAATGCTGCGGTCCCGATTAAAGCATTGGGTTGCTGTGAACGGGCAGCTTCCCGAGAATATAATTGTCTACCGTGACGGAGTTTCTGAGGGTCAGTACAATCTTGTGGTGGAGAAAGAAGTCCCGCTTTTGAAATCCGCGTGTGAGCCAATGTATCGGAATCCCCCACGCCTTTCGGTCATAATCGTTGGGAAACGGCACCACACTCGTATCTACTCAACTCACGAAGACGAGGCGGATCGGTCATCCAATCCCCAGAACGGCACAGTGGTCGACCGTGGAGTGACTGAAGCGCGAGATTGGGATTTCTATCTTCAGGCTCACTCTGCATTGCAGGGAACTGCTCGACCTGCTCACTATTATACTGTGTGGGATGAGATTTTCTCTGTACAGAAACCGCGTCCACTGTTCGAGAACGCAGCTGACCTCCTTGAGCACTTAACCCACAATATGTGCTATGTATTTGGTCGTGCGACGAAAGCTGTCATTATCTGTCCGCCTGCGTACTACGCTGATTTGGTTTGTGAGCGTGTCCGCTGTTATCTCAAGGAAGTCTTTGATGCAAGTGCGGAACCAAGCCCGTCTGGCAGTATGCTCGAAGGCGGCACTGGACGGACGCTAGAGACGTCAGACGTTCAGATCCATCAAAATGTGCGAAACACGATGTTCTACATTTGACATACTTTCTGCTGGATTATTGGTTCCTACTTCGTCATGTTCTTTTCTTGGACCTTAATGCAAATGCGATTCATAATTTCTCTTCGGAGCTAATTCGCGATCAAATTCGGGTTGATGGAGACTAAATTCACTATAACTATCCATTGCCAAGTCCGTGAACTCATATCAACTTATCCAAACTGCGGTTTCCGATACTATGGCCTACTTTGTCGGTGCAGAGCGTGACCGTACAACGGTCTGGTTCGGTACAGTTAAAATGAGGATATTGTGGGTTGCTTCTTTGAATGCTACGAACTTAGGGATGCACTGTATCCTAGTAACCGATGTATCATTTGAACTGTTTAACATAACTTCAAACCAATCGGGGCTTCGGCTGATCGAATTGCATTGGTATCCCAATACTTCTAACCCTGCAAGGGATTGTTCTTCCCATTATGAAATGTTTGCAGTATCCACATGAGCTTGCCATTTGTGCTTTCCTTGTCACCTTTACTGTCAACACGATAGATAATCTTCAACCGACAGAATGCCATATAATCATCATCTCAAAACCCGTCGACGGAGCAGCTTCCATCGGATCCTGCGACTTTCTCGTCCCATTTATTCGCCACATGCAGGGGTAGCACCCGGCCAGCGCCTGCGCACTGCGTTCTTAGTTCCAAGACGGTCGCACCGTCTTCGCGGGTGATCTCAAATCTTCCACAGTCCAAGCTTCGCGCAAAAGATACTATCTTCTTCAGCAGGTCGGCGAACCTAGCCAGAGTGGCTTTTTGATCTTCCTCCCAATGCCTGACCCTCTCGCGTGCGTCGATAACTTGGATATCACCAAATAGCCCAGCTTTATGGTGGGCAAGAATAAAATACGGGACCTGTGCGATCCACAGCCGAGGTAACTCTTGGCCGAGTGTGTCCTCGTCCTTCTTTCTAAAGGAGCGGGTTTTCAGGTCAAAAATGGCCGACTGGGAGATGCATTCACCTCCCGCTGATATTTTGAGGGTTTCTGGATTTTTCAGACCACTTGCAGGTAAGCTGGAAATAGCAACATTCTCGAAGGAAGACAGAAGATCTTCTGCGGCCTCTGCTGGATCCCCTTCTGAGCTGCGACTCCTGTGGTGGTTCCGTGTCACCGAAGGTAGATAACCGTCTGCTTCAAAGCGGACTAAGCAACTCATACCAGCAAAGTCATACTTCATCACTCTTTGGTGAGACTCAGATCCTTTCACGTTCGCACCCCACGTGGTATATGCCTCTGGGAAAGTATGACCGTACCCATATACGTTCGGGATTACCTCGTCATGGGCATTCTCTCTCCTCATGAAAAAGACTGTTCTCCCAATGACTTCAATAAGGGTTCGAAAGGGCTTGCCCTCGCCGCGCACAAAACGTAACAAATTCCCGAGTGTACTTCCGCATGCGACAATGTCAATGTCCTGAAGCAGGAAGCCAGGTTTGCTTGCAAGAATGGCTTTAACCATTGGCTCCATGGGGTAGCTAGGATAGCGAGCGGCATTCTGATCTCGAAAGTATAACCCCGAATCCTCTGAGAGCTGAGTTGGGTTCGAGAGAGGAGCCCACTTCGGAGGCTCACCTATTCAGCCATACCTGATTAGCGGGGATATATCCTTTCCCTGTGGGAAGCTTTTGAGGATGTGCTTTCTTACCAGGTATGAGAATATGAGGCCCTCCTCCACTGAGCCAGTTGTACGACGCCAGGAATTGGCTGTCAGTTATCTGGGAGGTTATATCCTGCTTCTCCGCTTGCAGATCACTTAGATAAATAGTTGCAAGAACCTCGCCACGTGGCGGAGGAGGAGCCTGCTGTACTCTTTGCTTTCGACTCCATGGCGTACTGTTCCTTCCATAACCACCTGCACAACCTCTATTGCGTCCATGGGAAGTAACTGGGGACATTGTTAGAATATGAGCCGATGGCCTTAAGATGCCAAAATGCGTTCAGATATCGTCGAAGGTAGTCTAGGAGTCTCGAGTTGCAACCACGAGGTGTCTATTCTGATGGAAACTCGATGGTAATTAAAGAACAGGGCATTGCTCCCTCCCGTGTTTTCGTAGTCATGTAACACCCCTTTGCGAACCCTTCGTGGGAACCAGCATAGGCATCGTTGTTGACGTGGCATAATATGCAAGTTTGCCATCTGCTGCCAAGCCAGCCCCTTCCATGGAAGGCCTTACTTGGGTGCTCAGGTATACACCTTGCAATTCGTGTACCAAGTCCGTGCAAGGTCAGCCAGCTTTAGCGGTGTCTCACCCCGCCCACCACAAAGAGAATATATATATGCACATGCCTGGTTGGAATATCCTGAATTTGCAAGGAAAGCTCTGTCCCATATGATAGTCAGTCATAAGTCGACTTTCAAAGCTTTAGCCCCCACACTAACAAGAAGGATTACAACATGTCTGCGGTTAGAACCCGGTCGGACCGCCAGAAGAAGTATCTTCAGGATGTTATCGCAGGAAAGCAGTCGGTCCAGAATGTGAATGACTTCAAGAGATTTGTCGAGGCAGTTTTAGCCCAAATTGACCATTCCGTTGCTGTTGAACGTCTCATGGCCAGCCCCAGCGCGTTGACTGCTCTTCAGAAGGGACTGCGATTTAGCACAACGGCTGACTTCATTAACCAGTACACGGCAAAGTTATTACAATACTTGAGCGGTCCGGGAATCAAAAACCTCTGCAACGGGCAATTTCTCGAGCGAATCCTCCTCATCTTCCTTGAGCCGCGTACCCTTTGGAATGCCTGGATGGAAGCGTTCGCATCCCGAAAGCTGGACGACAATGCAATTTACGCGTTGACGTGGATGATGACGGAATTACTCTCTTTACCGAGCTCCTGCGGAGTGGATGTTATTGCAGACGCGCAGACGATGGTGAACGACGGGTCACTGCTTCGCTCTCCTTCTATTGAGCTGCGTGGACTCGGACACAAGCTGAACCATTTTCTGCAAATGAAGTGTTCTGGGGGCATGATCGACTCGTCCGCGTTCACAGCGGGAGGCCGTCATGATAACGATTTTCCTGATTTCCGAAAGATTGCCATCCTTCCAACCTCCGATGAGTTTAGCTGTACGGGAAGACCATTCTTTCGTCGCGCCGAGGATATTGGGGAACTCCAAGGTCACCAGCGGGTAACGGCTTTCCTTGATAATCAATTTCGGCTTTTGAGAGAGGACATGCTTTCCGAACTACGGGAGGATGTCCAGATTGCAAACGGGAGGAAAAAGGGACGAAAATTGACATTCCGCCTAAGACATCTTTCTGTTGCTCGGCTCTCCTGCGGCAGAGACAATGACATACGACTTCATACATGCTGCCTGGGAGTGAGCTGTAAGTCTGGCCTCGAGAACATCAGCCAACTTTCAAAGGAGAAACGCGTATCGTATGTGAAGGAAAACCGAAATTTTGTGAAGCACCAAGCCTTCGGGTGCTTGACCCGGGGAGCCGAAATCGTGGCCTTCGCTACCATAGAAAGAGATGAAGATGCTCTTGTCGCTGAGCCACCGATAGTTATGCTCCGGATTGCTGGAGATGAAGCCTTTAAGAAAACGCTATTATATCTCAAGCTATACAGCGACGTACATTTCGTTCTTGTGGACACACCCATGTTCGCCTATGAGCCCATTTTGAAATGCCTTCAAGAGACGGTGGACCTTCCCTTGACGAAGGAATTATTCCTGCAACACGAAGGGCAGTCCGTGAACGAATCAAAAATTGTTTCTCTGAATGTGGTCAATGCAATTAAGGAGCATGGCAATGGCGATATGCAAAGCGTTCTGGGAATCTCAAAGCCGGTGAGACTAGATACCTCACAGCTCGAGTCACTGCTTGCGGGGTTGACTCAGAGAGTCAGCCTTATACAAGGTCCTCCAGGTATGTAGACGCGAAGGCTTCTTGTTCTACCCAGATTGAATAATGCTGTTGCTTACAGGCACTGGGAAATCATTCATCGGCGCCCTCCTGACGAAAGTCCTCCATGACCATACAAAGGAGAAGATTCTTGTCATGTGCTACACCAATCATGCTCTCGATCAGTTTTTGGAGGACCTTTTGGATGTCGGTATTGATCCTTCAGGCATCGTTAGGATCGGTTCAAAGTCAACAGCGCGGACACAGCCGCTCAGCTTGTTTGAACAGCGATCGTCATATAAGAGGTCAAAAGAATCATGGAACATTCTAAACAGACTGAGAAGCGATGCGTATGCAGATAAGGAGGCACTGCATACCGCATTTACAGACTACCAAAACCTGGTTATCACTCCGCATATTGTCATGGACTATCTGGAATTTGAGGAACCGGAAATATACGATGCTCTTGTGGCGCCAGAGGATGAAGATGGCATGACGGTAGTTGGCAGTGGAGGCCATGCAATTGGAAAAGATTATCTATACGCGCGATGGGTCAAAGGCATGGATGCCGGGGTGTTCGCGGACCGCCTGCCTGAAGCCAGCCGCAGTGTTTGGGAAATGAGCAAGGAAGCGAGGAATGAGAAACACCGCGTCTGGGAACATGCAATACTGGACGAACAGATCACGACTGTGAAAACCCATGCCGCGCAGTTCAACAAATGCTGCAGTCGATTAGAGAGCCTTTTGGGCGAGAAGACGAGGGATATTCTACGATCCAAACGCATTATCGGCTGCACAACTACAGCCTCGGCTAAATATTCAAAGGTCATTCGCAATGTCTCTCCAGGAATCGTACTCCTTGAGGAAGCAGGCGAAATCCTCGAATCACATGTCCTTGCGGCATTGGCCCCAGAGACAAGGCAGTTGGTGTTGATCGGGGATCATCTGCAGCTCCGGCCCAAGATAAACGAATACGCATTGAGTATCGAGAAAGGCGATGGGTACAATCTTAACGTTTCACTTTTTGAAAGGCTGATCCATGTCGGGTATCCGCATACAACTTTACTAAAACAGCACCGAATGTGTCCGGAAATCTCAACGCTTGTTCGACGTCTCACCTATCCCAACCTGGAAGACGATCGAAAGACTTTGAGCCGGCCCCGACCGCGAGGACTGCAGGATCGCGTGATCTTCTTCCAGCATGAACACCCCGAAGTCAGTTTCGCGGAATTATCCGATAAACGGGATGAAGGATCCAAGCAAAGCAAGAAGAATGCGTTTGAAGCAGAGATTGTATTACAGGTTGTGAAGTACCTCGGCCAACAGGGTTATGGAACCGACAAGCTGGTTGTCTTGACTCCTTACCTGGGACAGCTGCATCTGCTACGAGAGATGTTAAGTAAACAAAATGACCCAGTCCTGAACGACCTTGATTCATATGACCTAGTCAAGGCGGGCCTCCTCTCGCAAGCGGGGGCCAATCATTCAAAGCGGCGGATTAAGCTATCAACGATAGGCAAGTAGGATGCAGGCGAGACTTTTGAGGTTGGCTTTCTAATCAAGGCAATAGATAATTATCAAGGTGAAGAATGTGAGATTGTCATCGCATCTCTAACCCGAAGTAATAAAAACGGTGACATTGGGTTTATGGCGGCTCCTCAACGTTTGACTGTCCTGTTGTCACGGGCACGAAACGTTTTAATAATTGTGGGAAACGCGAAGACATTTGTCTCAAGTCGAAAGGGAGAAAAGACCTGGAGGCCATTTATGGATCATCTGAAATCCAACCGCCACCTTTATGATGGGTTACCTGTTAGGTGTGAACAACATCCCCAGAAGACCGCTATTTTAAAAACAAAGGATGAATTCGAAAGTGAATGTCCGGATGGCGGCTGCCCAGCACCATGGTACCTTCCCCCGTGATGATTACTTGGCATTTGAAGGTATCCTTACTTTTAACGCTGACTTCATACTTTAGTGGTGTCAAGCTGGGGTGTGGGATCCACGAATGTCCGTCAAGATGCCATCAGCCGGTCGACCATTCCAAGATGAACTGTACCAGGATCGTTGAATGGACCTGTTCGCGTGGACATTGCAGTTCCCAGGCTTGCGCGCAGGTCAAAGGGGCGTGTCGGTTTTGTAATGAGGAAGATCGGGCGAAAGAACGCAAACGGCAACGGAACCTCAAGCTTGAAGCAGAGAGAGAGAGAAGGCAAAAGGAATACACCCGTCATCTTGCTGAAGCCCAGGATGAAATCGCGTATTTGAGGCGTCTGCAACGGGATCAGTCTGAAGAGGACGAGCGGATGAGAGTCCTTCGTGAGCATTGGGATGAAGTACATCATCTCAAGAACATCCCAAAGAGACAGGACCCAGCTATTCGGACAGCTCCTACCACCGTGGCAACAAAAGGCATCAGTGACACAAGTACCAACTCAGTCGCCGGTGAACGGGTCCCTCAAAACAGCTGTCGAGTTACAGGCCGCCAGAACAAGTCTGCGACGACGTCATCAGCTGCGAAGGATGATTGGGAGTACCAGAAAACGTTTCTCAATGCTCAAAGCCGGGAAATTGACACGTTGATGGAAATGATCGGACTTGAATCCATCAAGGAAAAATTCTTAGCTTTCAAGGCCAAGGTCGATGTGTGTTTTAGGCAGGGGGTTGATCTCCAAACCGAAAGGTTCGGGTCTGTCTTGCTCGGAAACCCCGGCACAGGAAAGACGACAGTGGCACGACTTTATGCTCGCTTCCTGGCCTCTGTAGGAATTATCCCAGGCGATACATTCATTGAGACAACCGGTTCGAGGCTGGCAAACGATGGTGTCTCAGGGTGCCAGAAGACCCTCGAAAAGATTCTGAACACCGGTGGAGGCGCATTGTTTATTGACGAGGCATATCAACTTGCGCAGGGAAGCAGCTTCGGAGGAACACAGGTCCTAGATTTCCTCCTGGCAGAGGTTGAGAATCTCACAGGGAAGATTGTGTTCATACTTGCCGGATACCAGCAGCCGATGGAGAAATTTTTCTCCCATAATCTGGGGTTGCCAAGTCGCTTTCCTCATGAACTCAAGTTCAATGACTATGACGATGATGAATTTTTAAAAATTTTTGATTACAGTATCAAGAAGCACTATAAAAATCAAATGAAAGTTGAGGATGGCCCGAGCGGACTGTACAGTCGCATCGTCGCACGTCGTGTTGGACGAGGCCGTGGCCGCGAGGGGTTTGCCAATGCAAGGGCGATTGAAAATATCAGGGCCAGAATTGCAGAGCGACAGTCTGAAAGACTCAAATGGGAAAGGCTAAACCGGGTTGGTCAATCAGATGACTTTTTGTTGACGAAGGAGGATCTCATAGGGCCCGAGCCATCTCGGGCACTGGAGAGTTCGTCTGCGTGGCAAAAACTGAAAAGCATGATTGGTTTGGGGTCAGTGAAGACGACTGTCCAGTCACTGCTGGACAGTATCCAGTATAACTACCAACGTGAATTGCAAGAACTGCCCCCGGTCGGGTTTGCACTGAACAGGGTCTTCCTGGGGTCACCTGGGACTGGTAAAACAACAGTTGCGAAACTTTACGGTCAAATATTGGTCGGTATTGGGATGTTATCTAACGGCGAAGGTATGTGAATAAGTCATATGTAGCTGCATTTGCCATCTCTGACAAGCTCGCTAGTGGTGGTAAAGAATCCTTCCGATTTTGTTGGCAGCGTGATTGGCGAGTCTGAGAAGAACACTAAAGGCATACTTGCGTCTACTTTAGGTAAAGTTTTGGTCATTGATGAAGCCTATGGCCTCTTTGCAGGGGGCACTTCTGACGGCACTGGCGCGAAAAGTGACCAATACCGGAGTGCCGTGGTGGACACTATCGTGGCGGAGGTGCAGAGCATGGCCGGCGAAGATCGATGTGTTCTGCTTTTGGGTTACCGGGAACAGATGCAGCAGATGTTTCAGAACGTCAATCCAGGCCTCAGTCGACGGTTCCCGCTAGATCAGGCGTTGGAATTTCAGGACTTTACCAAGGAGGAATTGGACCAGATCCTTACCATGAAGTTGAAAGAGCAAGGGTTCAATGTCACTGAACGTGGTCGAAGGGTAGCCTTGGAGATGTTAGAACGAGCACGGAATCGGCCTAATTTCGGAAATGCAGGGGAGGTCGACATTCTGCTCAACTCCGCAAAAATGCGGCATCAGAGACGGATCTCTTGTATGCGGCATGTGGCAGGTCCGCTGCACTCTACCTTGGATGCCGAAGATTTTGACGAAGACTTCGACCGTAGGGAGAGAGATGACAAGAATGTGGCAAGGTTATTCGAGGGTGTGGTAGGATGTGACGAGATTATTGCGAAGCTAGAAGGTTACAGGGAAATTGTGAGGAAGATGACACAGTTGGAATGTGATCCTCGCAAGGAAGTGCCTTTTAACTTTCTTTTCCGTGGTCCTCCAGGTAAGGATCTCATCGGGTCAAGCAGTGTTCAAAAGAGGATTCTGATATTGGTCTCCAATAGGTACGGGGAAAACCAGTACGGCAAGAAAAATGGGGCAAATATACTACGATATGGGATTGCTGGCTTCGGCAGATGTCGTTGAGGTCTCAACTACAGATTTGGTTGGACAATACGTAGGGCAGACTGGTCCGAAGACGCAAAAAGCCCTTGAACGTGCGCTTGGTAAGGTTCTGTTCATTGACGAGGCATATCGGCTTGCCGATGGACAATTTGGGCAACAGGCCATGGACGAGATGGTGGACCGCATAACAAAGCCCCAATTTGCGCAAAGACTGATTATTATTCTCGCCGGTTACGATGCCGACATCAACCGCTTAATGGCGATTAATCCAGGACTTACTAGCCGCTTCCCAGAGTCATTACAGTTCAACTCCTTATCTGCTCCTGATTGCATCGCTCTCCTGACATCTTTGTTCCAGAAGCGCAAAAAGGATATGCAAGATAAGTCGAATGTGGAATTTGATCTTGGTGTTCTTGAGCACCCACGAGACGATTTCCGTAGAGATCTGATTCAACATTTCAATCTACTCTCCAGGACCGCCAGCTGGGCAAATGCACGTGACATCGATATCCTTGCCAAGGACATTTTCAGAAAGGTTCTCCAAGGTACCGATCGGAATTGCCTTGTTATTACTGAAACGGCTGTACTCCAATGTGTGGATCAAATGGTGACCGAACGCTTGAAGAGAGAACAATGTCAGCGCACGCACCATCTACCGTCGCAGGATAAAGCTGAGGCAACATCTCTCAGTTTGCCTGTTCGAGTCAATAGCCATAGCTCCTCGAATACGGAAATGGCAACGAGCAATAAACCGGATGCAAAACATCGTTCACTCTCCGGCCTCCCACCTACAGATACTGGTCCGCGAGATACTGAAGTCACGGATGAAGTGTGGAGCCAACTCCAGCAGGACAAGGCCGCTGCTGAAGCTCGAGAAAAGGAATATCTGGATTTGAGAGCGGCCGAAGAGAAGCAGGCAAAGGCTCTTCGGAAAGCGAAGGAAGACGAGGACATTGTGGTTCGGGAAGTGGAAGAAGCACGGCGAAGTGGCCATGAGGAGACTAGGGCCCGCCATGAACAAACCCGCCTGCAACGCGAGCTAGAAAGAAGGGCACGGGAAGAGGAACTGGAAAAAATCCGCAAACAGAGAGAGCAGGTGGAACGAAATCGCCGCCGAGAGCAGCAAGCGCAGGCAAAATTGCGGGAAATGGGAGTCTGTGTCATGGGCTACCGCTGGATAAAACAAACTGGCGGTTACCGCTGTGCTGGTGGCAGCCACTGGGTCTCAGATGCGCAGCTTAGATTATGAGGGAGGACGTTTCTCTGGCTTCTTGAGTGTGAGACTTTACGGGGTTAAAAGTCTGGCTGAAGGGAGAGGAGACTGAAGTAACTAAACTGGGAAGATTTGTCATCCAAGGGCTGTTAGTTGGCTTTAAGGATAGGTATGAGTTAAACTCTGAAGCAGGCCCGCACATGGGACATGATCAATCGGAGGAATCTGATAGCATTGTCAGCATATAAGTAACGAGGTACCTAATTGAGTACTTCAGTTACAAGGTGCGCCTATAGTTGTCGCTTTCCGTTTGATATTAGCTGTCTCTACACTAAGGCATCATGACGGATTTTGACGTAGAGAACAGCTTACAGCTAATACAGCTTCGAAGATAGGTACGATTCGCAAGTGGTCACCTTGACTCAGTCTCCCCTCGAAAACCAACATGGTTCCGTCACATCTCATGAAGCTGATTAGCGATGACCCTCATACATGACTGTATGTGACAGCATTGTTTTCTGCGAGAGTATCGTGGGCCACACCTGAAAGTCGTAGTTAGCAAGGTGGTTGCCTAACGTGCAAAGTGGCTGCAGTTGCTGTGTCCTTCGTTGCATATAATTGGAGCGACCATGGGTGTCAATGATAAGACAGTACTCTATGCCCTGTCAATTGGAGTCAGTCTACGTCGCCTAGCATGTACTGTAAAAGTCAAGGATCATGGTATCTACTCAGTCTCAGTGTCTCGAAGTCTCTCATCGGACAAACGTGATCTTTGCAGACATCCTTCTACGACTGCGGCGAAGGCCTTGAGGAAACAACGTCTGGAACAACCTGACATTTGTGGATTGGGCTTCCGTTCAAAAACAGAATAGCGGTCTTTCAAGACTGACAGGTTCTCTGCCGTGAGCTGCAAATAGAGGTCTAAGCTTGTTGATACAGTACAGTGAATGTCTTCTATCTTGGATCACTCTTTTGATCGTACCTGAGCCCCTTCAATCCGAATTTTGGCGTCCTTTACCCACAACCAATACCCCCCGTTGTTCAGTCGCGGATAATGAATGCCGTCGTCCGTTGTCCCTTTTACCTTGACCATTCCAGCCTTACCAGATATTCCTAGAAGGACTCGCTTCCACTCGTACTTCCCGACCAATCCTTCTTCCTCACCTTGTTGGAGAGGAGGAAAGTCGAAACTAAAAGCTATAGGGATTTATTTGGTATTGATAGGTAGAAATGGTGTGGACTTGAAAGGTATTGGTTTAAGATCGAGTTCCATGAATGGTTCCTTCCCATCATATGGCAATACTGCTATGCGACTGTATGGAAGGTGCCCTGCCACCGATGGAGTAAATTCGAACTTCGCGCACTATTCGGGAAGTGTTGTGTTTAATGCAAGTATAACCAAGCACTGACATGATCCACTCACTATTTTTGGAACGTTCCAATTCTTGCGTCCTAAACTAAATTAGCTCTATGTCTCGTCTAACCTGGTTCTATGCTCTGCTACACACAAGGAGAAAGGTGATGTTGTGGACACTAACCATTATATAGAGAGGCTCCCGTGGAAACATAAGCTCGGGTAGCTCGATATGTCTGCTTCCCTGACCAAGGGTTCTGAAAAGCTCCAGGAATCCATAGAAGCTCATCATATTCGCCTTTATATTCCCGAGAGTCAGTAGTGTGACTCATTACCTGTGACTAAGATTACCAACCGATTGGGCTTTCCAGGTAGTGGACAATAACACAGACTTGTAAGCCCCCAATAAATGTCTGGTTCGCGAACTGGGACTTTTCCTCAAGGTCATGGTACGATGCTGGAGGTGGTCCTCCAGCGGATGAAGGTAGACAAGATGTAATCTGTAAGCGCTTAGTTGCTGATGCGCGTTGGGGTTAGGCCTCCTTTGAATGGTCAAGCGGCGCCAGATTATCGAGATGAGACAAGTTGCATGACTGCTCAATGTCTTATACTCGTCTTGCAAGTCATTTCGAAGCATGCTGAGCTGAGTGCTATCTGATACTTCGCGTTCCCGGCTACCTCACAATCTCGCTGTTTGTAATGCTTGCCCACAAATAGAAGAGATGCCGCCTCGAACGCAACCAGAAGAGTTGGTGATATAAGCCGCATTGGTCGTGCCTGGCGCAATACCTCACCACCGCTGTGACTCTCGTCTCCAAAATCCGCAATAAAAAACCAACACATGTCTCGACAACATCAACCAGTGTTCCAGGTCGCCCTAGCGGGAACAGACGCAAGCCATAGCCTGGGTGTAGTGAGCTGTACCATACATATAGATTGAACAAGAGGCTATATATACTCTCCCCAACTGTCTTGCATTGAATTCCTGGGGTATACAGTGCACCCATTGGAAGTTCTGATGTTCGCGTTGCTTGCTCGGGCCGAGGTACCGTTGTTACTAGAAATTTTTATTCGCCATTATCAACGTATGGTTTTGCGCATATGACTTACTCTGTGTAGTGAAGTCGTGATTTTCAGTGGAGACGTGCTTTGTCGTCCGCTGGACTCTCTCAAGCCCAGCCCTAAGGCTTTCTTGCGATTTTTGCAAATCCTTCATACGCTCCCAGTTGTACATGTGTCTCTTGTCCTTTTCGCTATAATTGTATGAACAAGTAGAAACTTCTCCCCTTAAGCGACGATGACTGCATGGCCGTTTTCGATCACACTGTGTAAATAATGTCAACGATAGGATAGGGCAATGCAAATGAGCTATACGTGAAGCTATATATATGGCCGACTTCATGTACGGAAATAAAGAAAAAGATATCGTATCGTACCTTAACTTTGCGTTTGCAGCACTTAAGCACGAGTATGTCGGACGGGTCTTCTTCCTACCCGCCCCAGTAACACCGGCGAGCTTGGATCCATTGTTTTTGGACCCATAGGCTATAGAAGAGCAGCTCATGGGATCTGGCGCGATTTGTAATGCGGTGTAGTACCACTCGAGTTAGCAACAATATCAGCCCAGGAGCTCTTGAGAAAGACAGCAGTGGTGCGCCACGGCCAGTACGTATAGTGGGGACAAAAGAGAATCACTACTTTAAGACTATCTGGAAGACAGGCAAGTACACTCTACATGCCGCCCTGGGTAACGCTAAGCGGAGATTGCTGTGCCACTAGGGTACTGTAACGAGTAATAGGAACACAACAACACTAGCAAATTTTACCAACCACAGAAATTGTGCCCTAGAAAGTCCACAGGACAGGGATCTTACTCCCACGGGTGGCTCTGCTCCATGTATACGAGTCTAGAGCCATAAGGTACCACAACATGTGCACTTATGCTAGAATACATGCAAGCACACAAAAACCTATTTGGACGAGCGATAGGCTCTGCTGTCGTCATGGAGCTTTGATCAGTGACATAAGAAACGGTAACGAGACCGGTATATGGCCATAATATTCGTCGAAACCGGATGGCATCGCTAGCTCTAACATCTCTGACCTGGCTATTTACCGTTTATCTGAGTTACGGGATTCACAGTGATTTTCTATCCTCCTTTTAATTTGTTTGGAAGCGGGATGTAGAAGCACTAGAAGACTCTGTACTTGAAAATCTCAGTTTTAGGAATACCTGCACTCACATGAGCAAGTCGATCTCAGCGAAATGTCCGGACCCGTCAAGCCGTTAGGTCACCATAGATCTATCGATTCTCGTATCTCGGAAAACTGTGTCACTAGAATGATTGATAGAAACTCTAGCTCAATCGCATTGACATTGAAATCACAGTAATGAGTCTTGTGATGCCTCGAGAGTCTGGTTAACCCGTCATACACTAAATGACTAACGGTTGGTAGATTCGACATTATCTCGAGAAACATCTAAACCGACCGACCGTTTGACTATTACCCCTTTCACATAGCTGGGTGTCGTAAGCTCTATGCGACTAGACTTCGTCGAGTTGAGGGTGGTGTTTGTCCTCCCTGTTTTAGACAGCTGTGGTTTCGTAGCCTCCTCGGTTGTAGCTTAAGTGCGTCAAAGCAAATATTCTGTATGATGATGATGTGTTTATTCCTCCCAGCTTATGTATGAGGTTATACATGGCCTACTACCAAAGCACCTCCTGTGGGACTGTGAGGTAATGTTGTAAGATGAAAGCTTAATCATATTAAGGGAATGGTCGAGCTACAGATCAGCAGTCGCGGGAGTATGTACTACCACCCTAAATACATTCAGTTGAAGCCTGTCAAACGGTAGCACTACCATGGTTTACGTATTTGAACTTGTAAACGTCCTGGCAATCTTGCGGATTACGGACCGTTGATGTGAACCGTGCGGTTGTCGGGAAATACTTCGGCTAACCCCGTTTGTTATTTAATCGTTCACTAAAGGATGTCACTTACTAAACGTTTTTGGGCCGTAAGATAAGGAAACCCGCTCCGTACAAGTGGCATTTCCTTTAATGGGGCCATCTCCGTGGTCGCTGTGCCCTTCCTCCCTTTCTTTATCTCATATAACGCTAAAAGTAAATAGACGGAAAGTGTATTCCTCCGTCGGCCTTGGTTTTTGCAGCCAGACGTATAGTAGGTAAGAATGGATGCAGAGAATCCAATAGTCTCGGCTTATTCCATGAATGGTTAAGGCCGGATGGTACTCTACGGGTTACGGTATTCAACTATTTATCCGGAGCGGCAAAGAAGCCCACACTTGAGGCGCGGCTGGACCTCCGAAGGTTACCATTGCTCCTGAGAACAGTGTCAGAACAGCGAGAGGCTCTGGCTGGCCCCCTATCTCATTCGCCGGTCACAGTCACAGTCGATCGGCTTCCCTGCTACTCTCCCTCGCTCACGGCAGTTGAACATGCCGAGAGGCGAACATTACTCACATTACTTAACTCCACCTGATTATAGAAAGAAACCCCATATCTCATGTAGTGTCTTTCCATTCAGCAGTTGACACAGTGGGATGAAAGCGATGATATAATGCTAAGTGCTGGCCAGCGTCCTACAGACCCGGACATCCTTGTGGTGGAGGCGTGGGGACAAGGATTCCTGGTGGGCTTCCTTATTGTCATGATTGCTATCACCTCGGCCAACATGAAAAAAGGGGTGCTCTTGCACAAACTCAACGTGGCAGAGGTAAGTTGTGCCGCCTCATTGCGGCGAACGGGGCACTATCCCCTGCTGATGTGGACGCTTAGCTCGCCCTGGCCCTTGGGCACGGAACGTTCATCTTCCTCCATGCGCCTGCGTATGGCTGGTTTCTCTCGGTCACGGCCGTGGGTCTCACAATTTCGCATTCCCTCCATAACGTGATTGCATGGATGAAGATCCGCGGCTTTATCCCACCCTGGGGCACGCGACTGTATCTGATCACCCTGCTGGCGGCCTAGCCGTACTGGGTCGTCGAGATCTATGCCAATTTTACCTTTTTCAAATCGGGGCCAGGCCTTATATACCACCACGCGGCCACTCGAGCCGCTGTTCCGGTGCGGTGTCCGAGTGCGATTCTCCCCACGCTTCGCATTGCTGATGCGGATTTAGGGAGACCATGACTACCGATTCTGGTCGGCCTTATTGCATGTAGAGGATCAGCGGTTCTCCACCCTAGACAGAAATTTGACCCTTTCGTTTTGGCTTTATCCACCGGTAGAGTAATTCGGAAGGTCAAGTTTCATTATTTACCGCTGTGCCAGGGGCAGTATCTCCAGGACCACAAATCGCGAGAATCGCACAAGATCTGCCACCACGCGTCGAAGCGGGGAATTGTGCGAGAACGGAATCAGGAAAAAAACAGCGGTCCCATACCTGGAATAGGCAGTAAAGAAAATCCTGGCGGTGGAGCTGGAGGCTAGACAAGCCCCCAATAAACCGTATTTGAGCATACCGGTCACCGTTGCCGAGGTAATGATTAGACTCAGGTCGGCGAGACAAAAGAAATTCGCCCAGCCGGCACAGTGCCATCGCATTCGTCCACGGCAATGTCTCACATGGAGCCTTGTGCTACCTAGGTCACGCTCGGTCTCGTGCCCCGATGATGTGGAGACCAGAAATCATCCAGGGCGCAGGTGACTTTGCATTCTCATCGAGGGTGGCTCTCTTCTTTATCCTGAGGGGAAAGCGTGGGCCCAATCAAAAGCCCTGATACAGAGTAATGGAATTCAAGGTTTAGTGGTACTCAGTGATCCGAATCTGTTTCATTGAGTTTCATGGGGGCTTTCTCCATTCTGGATAGTCTAGAAGATCAGAAGCTCCCCAGGGGTTTTTGAAACATTTGACATTCCCGCACATGATACGGGATATGACAACATGGGCAACAAATAGCGGTTGGGTACAGGCAGAGGTGCTGTAGAAACTGGAAAATCCGACGAGAGAAGGAACAGGCAATCATTGTGCTCTGTTGGGCCACGGTTGCCTGACTGTTTCCAAGTGGCAAAGCCCACTTGTGCAGACCTGCAATCCGTTTTCAAAGTATCTCTGTGTACTTGAGACGTCCATTGACCAACGGCGCGGCGGTCCCACGAGTCGCACACATCTTCGCCCTGTCCATGCCCACGCCGAATTCTTTCCCAGTCGGCGTCTTTGACTGGGGCCCTCACGTCTTCGAGCCAAACTCTGAAAACGTGCAAGGTCATTAGGGCAGGTGGCTTCGGGTTTTGCTCTTTGTATATTGTCACCATGTGTCCCTGGGCAATTGGTAGGAGAGAGTACACGCAGAGATGACCAGATATCTATCCCGCACTTGAACGACTATTGAAGTTCATCTCGACCGCATGACGGTCCTGGTACTTGAAGTCGGTGAGGCTGGATGCTAGTGCTGCACGGTTGGTCTTGCCGGGCGACCGGAGTGCTTGGAGATATAAGGCTGGTGTCTTCCAGTCCGGCTCACTCCAGGACCAGGCTTCCTGACCTTAATTGCTGGAATGCGCAAGCGCAACAGTGTGCGCCTTCACAGGAATGGCGGCCCTTTGTCGTATGATCTCCTCGGAGATAGCCCCTGACAGGAGTGGTGGGCCTGTTTAGTATTAATCTCCCCGGAGATAGCCCCTGATAGGAGTGGTGGGCCTGTGTTGTATCATCCCCTTCATGGCCATGGGCCCCATGTCGTATTACCGGTGCCCTGGACCGTTCCCAGATGAACAGGTTCCTTCTGTTCTTAGGACCCCGTTCTGAGACACTTCAGCTATGGGCAGTCACCTCTACGCGGTGCTGGGGACTAGTACTTGCCAGAGTATATCCACTTGTCATGATGCAAGGAAGCCAAGGTCTGCTCGTGCCATGCCGTGGTTCTTACCAGCATTGGTGCAATATCGTGCATCACAGGCAGAATGGAGGCCTGTACGGAACGGAGGTCCGTATCCGTCAATGCCCGCTGCCAGTCATGTACAATAGTTAGCTTAACTTTTATGGTACAATGTATACAGTATTCCCTCGGAATAAATTCCATCTGTAGTATATCCTGGTCCTGAATTCGCGAGTCCTGGGTAACTCCCTCCGGACCGCTTCGGACAAGCAGTCTGCGAGTCGGTGTATGTCTGGCTAACCGGTTGCTTGTTGCATACTGTATGTACTCAACGTTCACGTTCGGACGCCTTCAGATTATGGTCCGCCCGACAGATACCGACCTTGGTGACGGGTCATGCATAACAGGGCCTTGGAGATTGCCCATCTTGTCACTGCGTGGGGCGGAGATCTTGCAACAATGAGGCACCCCAGCGACACCTGGACAAAACCAAAATTGGGGAATCCGGGAATCCAGGAGCCGATGGGTGGGAAACGGGCAAATCGTCGGACAAGACTACTGTACTGTTCTAGCTCTCGTCATGAGCTTTACGATACTGTAATGACCAGGTAGGGTTGTGTTGTGTTCGGCTGACGCAGAATTTCCCGCTGGCGCTTGCTGGTGCTCGCTGGTCAATTTTTTACACACAAAATGCCCAATCATTCCGACGGCTTCTCGCCGCGCATCGAAACCCGGATCCCCCAATCCTGCTTTGACCTTGGCGCAGCATGATTCGGCTCCACGCTGAGGATTTGACCAGGCCGGACGTGATCATGCGTCTTTCGGAATGTGATTATCGCCTTCTGAGGTCCCTGATCGCGGTCAATGGGAGACCCAGTGGGGACCTGGTAACCTGCAGACCAGGGGTAGGGCAAATGAAGCGGGTCACAAAGGGGAAAAAGGAAAAGGAAAAGATAGAAACAAAGGGGGCAAGTTCGGGAAGTGAGGGAGATGAGGTAAATAGGCAAGGAATGGTGAAAGTATGGTCAAAAGATGGCGAGAGACGGGAAAAGATGATAAAGGAATCGCCGAGTAGACACGGTCAAATAATTTACGACGCCATCTTCTCCATGGCAATCTGTGCGGGCATTGATCTGTTACAGAGAAAGATTGCCCAGGCGGGCGCGCCATTTCACCTCACCGCCTTTTGATCAGTCCCTCTGTGTTGAGTATCATGGTGGCTGAACCTTACGGCAGGGACTGGGAACAGATACATGTATGTGCTATCCCGCCCACATAAAAGAGAACTTTTTAAGTCAATCAATAAGAATTAATCTATTCTGACCTCAACACTCCGATCGATTTTTGTTGCCCCGGGCCATCAACATTTTCTGATGCTCGGGTAGGTCCGGGACTAGTCCTTGTGAGGAAGTTGTCCAGGGGTTCAATTTGAAGCCCGCCTAGGGAATCCGAATGCGCACCGAAGGAATATTATGTCCTCGGGTTTCAACCACTGGGCTTAGGGCGTAAAGCGAAGAAACCAACACATTGGTATACTGGCATTTGCATATACTATTACCTTAGGCTACTACAAATGTGAGCTTCGTCGCTCGCGATTGTAATCATGCGCATCAATTGTCTATACATTTCGTACATGAATGGTCAATGATAAATATAACATGACAATCATTAGCTACTCCAACGTGTCCGGCACAACCGGCTTTTGGTAACTCCACGAGACACTTACAAAATCAAACAGGCACGCCAAAATTGAATATAATGCCCACTCTAAGAATCGCTCATCAAAATTAGCTCAGCAGGTTGATTATCTGCTCAGCCTCCGATGCCTCCAGTTTCAAATGGTGCAACGTCGAGCTTGGCCGTGCTGGGCATTTGTTTTTTCCGGTCGGATTTGACCAATGAGAATTCGTCCGGCCAGCAGCATTCCACCCCGACAACAAAACCTATTTGCAATTCAACCCATACCAAGAATGAGGTTGTATCGGGATATCGACCAAATTGACCAGAGTGCAAAAAGTGTGGACATATCGATCGCATCTCCGATCTCACGCAACAGATCCTGATCTCCTTTCAGAATGATAGACGGTATAGGTTGCGCATCTGCCAAAGAACAAATTGGGCAACATATATGGTGAGCATGAGCTTCTTTCTCGATTGTTCTTGGTGCCACTCCATCAAGGATAGTAGCTGGTGAAAGTATACAGAATTCTACACCCAGATTCAGTCATGCTTCTTGCATGGTCATGACTGTATGGGCATTGTCTACCGCCATGGTGAGCACACGAATGGCCTTGAAAGTATACGGGTGGTTTGAATTGTCAGACCATAGATATGGGGACTTGTGATCCACCAAAGGGATTCGGGGTCGTGGGACGGTCGCGTGGCATAGAAATGCGAAACGACAACTTCTTTCTAGATGGAGTGGGCTGACAAATGCCAGGAAGTTCGTTCTAGCACATCAAACCCTCCGTGTTGCGAACCCACCGAGCTTGTTATGAGGCGTGAGTTGGGGTTCATTTGACGCACCTTCACTAAAGTATTGTTTAGATGAATCGAACAAAAGACGGGGTCGACGTCGTCACAGACCACACCAAGCGCACCATACTCATCGGCCGAACTAGCCGACCTGTAAGCCCCCAAGACCAATGCAAGACTCCGGGATATACCTCTACAAGCTGTTGGTTAAGCCGGTGACTAGCAAGCCTTTGGCCTCGAACAAATCAAGACCGGGCCTCTCGAGGGTTGGTAAGTCCCTTCTTTGAAAAGCGATAACCCTTCCCTGGCGTAGCGACCAGCTTCCAGCCATTCTTTCGCAATCCCCGCCAAACGGCCATAAAAGGAAAGAGAAAAGGAAATAAAAGCAAAATCATTCCTTCGAGTTGCCCGGTTGCGTTCACTATCCGGTCATTGTACCAGTCGTGCCAGTAAGGCTGTCAGTGTGGGCCGCTCGTGTAGGGAGGTAGAAACTCTATTCCACCCCTCAGTGACTTGAAATTTTTGGCAATCAAGACAGCATGATAGATGTATAATTGGCACATAAGCATGTCAAAAACCCAACTGCAGATGGAGTATTGTTCGGTAGCATTACAGATAAGCTTTTGGAATGAAGCATGCCATCACATCAGATGCCTTAGACCATAGTGTAATGACATTACAAGCACCGTTGACGTGACATCATGATCACGAAGCTTGAAAATCCATACCACGCCCCTAACATCTGTTATTCTTGAGGAGTCTATGTCCTGGATATATCTGTCTCTGTAAAAGGCATACTGTGTGAATGGCTTTCCTCTGTGACAAGAAACAATTTCCCGCATCCTTTCAGGGGAGATAATTATAGTAGGTGAGCGTCGTAGTTCAGGATCCTTTCGTAGGCTGGTCAGATATGGTTCCGAGAGGTTATGGACGTTCAATGTAAATCCAGAAGTAAAGCGAATCTCGTTTGATGAAGTATCATAGGTGTGCTCATTTAGACAGCTCCTGAAAAGCTCCCAAGTTGGTATCTCTCCAGTGCCATCCAGAAGAACAAGTGCCATGTATTGATTCTCACATCCTCCATGCTTCGTATTGGATATCATTTGGCTAAGTTTTGAGCCGATCAATACTAGTCTGGCGTGAGCGTCTGCCACCTCTTCAAGCCATCTGTCATTCTTGAAAATTCTAGACCAAAGTAGAGACTGCTGTCTGTCTGATTCCCATGGCTCCATGTCGAGACTAGACAGTATACCAACTCGAGACAGGGGTGGCACGAAGAAGAGAATACGATCAAGCACTTCTCTTGGAAATTTCATGGTAGGAGCTTTCGAAATGTATCTTTGCATATTGTTGGCTGGGTGGCTTGCCGCACCCCCACGGTTTGTACCCGACTCTTCCGCCTGCTTTGCTCTTTGCAAAATGTCCAGTAGAAATGGCGTGGGCGAACGGTTTGGAGTTCCTATAGGTAGCCCTTGCTCCCAGTTGTTATAACGTGCCTCCTGTTTCTCCCAAACCTCCGTGACTTTTGACGTAGCCAGTTCCTCATTGGTTAATTTGATGAGATCTGTTCGTGTGATCTAATTGGTGCCATCTCGGTATAAGTTTTTGTCTTCCTCCTTGATGTTAGTCCACTTGAGCTTGACATAGGTCATTGGCGCCTTAGAGGTTTTCGTAATAGGGAGCCTCTCCAGAATGGCTACACTAATAATTTCTTTGATATTCTCAGGGCCATAGCGACGGTGCTTTTTGTCCTGTTTGTCTCTGTCCATGATGGAGCAAAGCCGCGACTCTGAATCAGACACTTGCTGAAGACCATTGAAATTGTGTCCTTTGCCGGATTGGATGACATACTTGCCCGCTTGCTTTAGCCCATATCAAATAATCAGCTTCTTGGCTGCGAGCATCATGAACCACGCATCTGTAATACCGTTCGAGTGGCTATCCTTTGATAACTTATCTAATCAGACTAGCAATCCAATATTGTTATTGTTGTCCAGATCCGAGCTTTCGTCCAAATCTGGTCCTTTAATGGATGCAATTGCGGTATCGGGATCAGAAGGTACTGTTTTACTATGATATCCCTGCCCCCGGCTATTGGATGTATCCACTGGTTCCTGCTTCACCGATATCTTATCTCCACTCGGGGACAATGTGTTCTGCGGCACAGGTTATGGTTATATCAATGACATGTTATTCTCAGGGGCCTGACCGTTGGAACCTGTGGCAGCATGTTCTTTTATATTAATATCCATTAAATCTTCATCATCTTTCTTAATATCCGCTTCTGTAGATTGGATAACTTATTAAAAGTTATTATACTTTTTCTGCAGCTTATTTTTCTTATTTTTAATAAGCTGCGAGCCTTTTAATTAGCTCTCTACCATTAGCAAGTCCTTCCAGAGTGACTCAAGCTCCTGCTGGTACTGTTTTTATTTATCTTCAATTTTCCTTCTTTGAACAGCTATTTCATCTTTTTCACGGGTCTTTTAAGTATTGGTATTTTTATTAATACCAGTGGGTTTTGAAGTGTCCTTTCCTGAACATGTATTAGCCATATTGGCTACAGCCAGAGAAGTTTGGTCAATGGATAGCTGATAGAAATCATAGCCTGGACACAGAGGATTTATACCTTGTCTACTAGTTACTTTAGTATAAAATGCAAAACAAAGTGAATGTAAGTGACAAACAGATATATCTGTATAATTTCTGAGATATGTAATAAACTGCAGTACAGTGAGACTGATTAACAAGAATGTCTCAGGAACTCTCTTAAAATGGCAGAAGATTAGCCTACATTGTTTATAAAATTTACTGATATAAATCATTATATTTTATAGACTTTTACATGAAACTTAAATTCTTTCTTCTCTCGTGGATCAAGTTATATCTTGGATTTAGTAAGGACAATTCTCCAGGTATCTGCCATATCTTCTGTCTGAGAGCTAATATTGCTTTAACTTCTTAATGCTATCAGTGCGTTGTACAGGCATATTTGGGATTATCTTAGATCTGGCACCTGCAGCATATAACTGCGGAGGTATAGTATAAAGATTTGAATATCTATGAGTACAGTATGTCCTTCTGCAAGGGTTGCATATCCTGGATATTCCAAAGAATAATTTTCATTTACAACAGGTAAGTATCAAGCAAACTTCTGCAAGTCATTCACTGCTATTCTATTTGCTGATTTAAAACAGTAGCAGACAGTACAGTAAGATCCTGGACACAGTATATAAATGGTAGTACAGAAAAGCACTAAGATATCATAATATTATATTATTCATATATTTCACTTAAGCAAAGTCCCCCATTACTACACAAACAGTTTATGTTTCTTGTGAGCATTCTCAAAGTCATATGCCTAGGTTGAATAACAATACTCAACCTGGTCTTCCAGCACCTTGACATTCTACGATGAGTCCTGGCTATTGGCACTTATATTATTGAACGAGCTGGATTTAGTTTCATGGTGATCCATCATAGTCTGTAGCCATAAGGATAGTAGTGAGTCGATATTCTGCACAGAGGTGGGTGCAGATGGTTCCTGATATATACTGCAGCAGTAAAAGTCTGTCATAGGCAATGCTGCAGAAACAGGCGCCAATGGATCCCAAGAAGGTGATTACAGTGGAATAACAGTTAAAATTAATAAGCTGATATCTTCGGCCTGCTGCATATGAAAAAAATTTGGGAAACTTGGTGGCCCAGTCTCTGGTATAGAAGACAACCCTGCTCTGACGGACAAGGTAATAGACTCCAGTAGATTAAAGAAAAGACTAAGATAGTACAGTCCTTAGGAGTCATCTCTCCAGAAGAGTATGATCCTGTTTTTAATTAAATACTATAGCTGTTCAGCCTTATTTCTAAAGAATCACCCTGCTGCCTGCAGTATAGAAATAGACAGATATAAAGAACCATCAGTCCCGGACACAGTCAGATTATCAGCTTCAGACCAGGTTTAATTCTAGAAAGATACAGGTAATGTCTTCCATGAGTATGGTTCTATAATCTATAGTATTAAGTACCATGCATCTGCTGTAGAATCCCCTGTTAAGTTATCTGCGGGCATATACAAGCTCGGGAGTATAATTATGCTAAGCAGGAGTCTCCAGCCTGTATTTATGCCAGATTTAGATAGGAGAGTGCTATTCTTATTATTAATAATCTTATATCTTTCTCCACGAGCAGTAACGTCTGCAGGGTATATAATAGATAAGCTATATTCAGCACCACTATCTCTTGGAATAATAATATCTGAAGCATGGCTTATATTAAACACACTCCATTAGTATTTCTCTATGGATGCGCTGGCGTGAGCCTTATATATTCTTAAGGTATCACTAGAAGACTAATCTATATAAATCTTGTGGATTGGCAACTTCTCTGTTTATGTTTTAATATATATTATAGTATGATGGTTCGCCCTCGGCTGATCTGACTGAGGAACACACGCACTCCTGGCTTTCTGGTATACTTTACAGAGCAAGATATGAGAACACTAGAAACTAATTCTATTAGTTAGAAATATTATTTACTAAACTCTCATTATATTATCTCAGTGTCTTGTGATTTATATACTTTAATTTTATTATAATAATATCTTTTACAAGCTCATTTTATCCTGCGCTGCTATTCTTCTATCAGCTAATGCTTGCTCAGCAGATGGTAGCAGTTACACTATATTCTAAATACAATAATACATGAATCTATCTTAGTATATGCCTCTAACGTCTTTCAGTAATCCTTAACAGGCTTAGTAGCATTAGTATCTTCTTGGTACTAATGGAATAGGGCTGTAGCTGATACAGAGCCTTTTCTTATAATTACAAGTCCACTAAGCCGCTTACTAATCCCTAATTCATTTCTCAGTCTTCCGGAATATTTATACTCCAGCAGACGCGATGGGTGCTGCTCATCCATGAGTATTATAATTGGCTTGGTCAGTCTGTGCACAGATACAAAAAAAAGATATGACCTGTAAGAAGACTAGCACACACCCCCAGAAAATCTGGATTAGGTTTTTCTGTATTTATAATAAGTGGCCTGTTATCTACTTCATATAGCCTTGGCTTAATGGCAGACACAAATTACACAGCAGTAACAGGGTATAATAAAATACTATATAAAAATTACTGGTGCCTGCCATTATACATCCATCTCAAACTATTGAAGTGCAGATCTTATTCCTGTCCAGTTATCCTGTAGTACAGCCTGCTAGGTAGTATCCCAGATAATCTTTATATAGTCAAATAACAGGAAGTAAATTTGCTGTTTCTGTGATAAATAGCAGATATCAGGGGAGCAGTATTACTTCCAAGAGTACTATATTAGCTCCCAGGGATATATAAATATTTTCTAGGAACTTAGACTATTATACAAAAATCTATTACTCTTATGACCCCTGGGTTACACCTTCCCGAATAGTCACTCTGAACTGGTTATTTGCAGAAAAATAAGATACTATTATTCTAGATACAGATATAGTCTCCTTTCCTTCTCCTACTGAGGAAGTCATTGCCCAATATGCAAACACTGGCCTATACACGCACTATTCGAGATAACTAAAAATAAATAATATACATGGGACCCTCGCATTCAAGGCAATCGACACGAATACCCAAAATCTGTGATAAATATGCCGCAAGAACCAGATATATTACTTACTAGTCTACAGTTATAACCCGCTGCGTCCCTTCTATAAGTAATTCTTCGTCAACCTTACAAGTCTTATTTGAAACAGACAGTGGCAGTAAAGCAGATTGACAGTTAACAGCTTCGAGTCCAGGGGATCCAGATTGGGGAACAAAACAAGCAGAGCCCGGTATCCCTGGCTGGTCTATGATAACAGGAAAATAAGGCTTGGTGCCCGTAGAGTCTTATTCAATAGAGACTATCTGAGAGTATATTATCCCCTGCTACTATACTGAGGAGGTACTTTATAATAATCTAAAATTATCTAGATTTAATAGAATACTTTTAAGAAGAGTTTCCTCTTCTGTAAGAAATAATTCTGTGGAGAGTCCACTGATGCGGTTATTATTTAATAAATTAGACCAAGTATAATACTGAGAACTTTAGCTGACTTTGGAAAATATCTCTAAATATAATATTAATTTCTGAGAACTGGGTCTTCCAGTCCGCGATTGTTTCTTCTTACTTGACAGCGAGAACTGATATTCTGGATATGCTCCAGCATGCTTTTGTTTCTCTATCACCGCGAGTGTCTTGTACTGCTTACAGATATGGAAGGATTCTATCTTCCAGCTCCGTCCGGTGAGGATGGAGATAACCTGATAATTATCATGGGCGAGCTAGTACTTTGCTCGATCACTATACGCCAGCCGGTACAGCATAAATGAGTTCATCAGACATGGAATCTTGCCATGCTATTATAGAGCCTCCTGGTGGCGTGTCTTGACTGGGCAGTCAACCCAGGCGCACATGTCTCTAACCGGGATGTGCGGCGTGCCGTTGGCCAATTCACTGAGTGGACATAGTAGATCTAGATTAAGCTTTAATGTTATGTACTCAACTTAGCCGTTCCTTATCATGGCTACGGTATGATTTGACTGTCGGACTCTGCTGTTCTGATACAAAGGCTCTGGCTTTGTCTGGTCCGCCTCGGTCTTATTTATCAGAATAAACGAGTTCGCGCAGGCATGGATTCTGTTAACTACCTATAGAGATCAGTATGTGCCGAGTTAGTACGCCTGGTCTACCAGCTGACGCGCAGGAGCAAAGCATCTCACTGGTTATGAAACCACAGGATTAAAGTTTTCTACCAAAATTATTACTATAGAAACAGCCTGATCAAAGCACTGGAACTGTTAAAATATAAGATTTTATAGCTCCTGGAGACTATACATGCTTATCACGGTGTATTCTCCAGAGCCAGGGGAGGGAATGTTAGAAGTGTATAAAAGATACTGTCTGAGATCTACACAGGCAGTACCAGGTGTGAAATATAACTGGTAGAATAGGTGTGGCAAGACAGATATCAGATCTCTTGATAGGATTAGAAGAAAGATAGATATTTTTATCCCAGTTTTATTAGATATAGAGAGATAAATCGCTGCATATAAATTAGATATTTTCTATAAAATTAAATGATAAGATCCTCCCTGGGGGCAAATCAATGATTTAAATATTAATTATCAAATAATGACATGGTAAATGAGTGTATATTATTATAAAAATAGATTATAATAGCAATCTTGGGTTCTTATAAAGAGTAGGCATGAATTAGAGTACTTTTATTTTAATTTAAGCTCTGTTATTATATTCTTACTTGCTCATCTAGAACTAATAGCGGGATTTTTCCTGACTGTGACTGGTAGGACTATGGTCTACTAACATCCAGGGATCTCTGTGATGTAGCAATATACTAGTCATGAATAATAATTTGTAGGATTCGGGATTGAAATTGGCTGGGTCTGTTTCGGTATACTTGGTGATAGTTAAAGCGACATGTGAGTGGACCCACCGCAAGAAATGAGATTGCTATTTATAAGCAGCTGAATTAGATAATAAGATTCTATCAGGCGTCTTCGATGGCCTAATTAAGAAATGCCGAACAGCAGCTATAGGACTTGTTAATCTCCAGTATTTACTAATCTGAGCCAGCTGCAGTAATTCCCACTCCAAGATACCCTCGCCTAGTTGGAATGCCTTTAAGGGAACTATGGCGGAATAGATTCCAGCTTGAACCAAGTGGGCTCCGAAAGCATCCCCCATACTTGAGACCCCGGAATAGCCAGTCCCATCAATAGTCACAGTAGATCACCGGAACCTCATGGAGGCCAGGATCTTCTGGGCACACACCCCTCCCTCCAGTGTAATTTAATCCAGATAATCAAGGTTTGATAGATCATCCCGGGAGATTGGTAACTAATTATTGATAAGCATTTCCCAGTCTTTAGAGATCTAGACACGTTTCCTGTCAGGGCTTATTGAGTATAGAAGAGGATATAGAAGACTATAATAAGTAATTAATATAGGAAAGCTTAGGGCAAGAATTATCTATTTACAAGAGCAAATACTAGGGAACAAGTAACAGGAGTAACCTCAAACATGAGTAGGTCAGGCAATCGCGAAGTAATCTTTTAAAGACCGCCGGAGCCGTGCCGCCCCAAAAGAACACGCGTGTTGGGACTACAGCATAATGATTTGGAATTTGCTACCATAGCACTGGGACAGCATCGAATGCCACGCGCCGCCATGCGGCCGCAATCAGGCGAAAGCTATCGTGCGCCCTAGACTTATATTAATCACATAGACTAAGCTCTAACAAATGAACCCGGCGGTCTAGATCTCCTTGTATTATTATTAAAGAAGTCCTTGAATCATGTCATAGGCTGCTTTGCTATCATGATGTATAATACTCCTCTTTGTAGAAGGATCGTCCGTATGTAATCAAAAATAGCTAATAATCATCTTTATAAAGTGCTCGCCATTTAGTGCCTCAATAGCCTTCTTGCTAGAGGCAGGACTTTGGCTACCTTGACAGTATAGCCAGTCACATTCTATAATACTTCCACCTGAAAGCTCTTTGCCTCGCGTTAAAAGTTACCTAGAATATACTATTTTGGCTAGAACGGCTGTGGTCTACTCCTACGGCTGCTCAGGGCTGACCTTTACTGGAATAAAAAGAAACATCAGCCTGTTAATCTTAGTAGTATGTTATAACACGGCCTAAACAACAGCCTAGAATGATCAGGTTATATTTATATCACAGAGACAAGTGTGAGCGTTATATCAGCCTGAAATAATAGAAAAGCTAGAGCTGCCTCAATTCTGCATCTATTCTGTAAGATATGAGAAAATTAGCGTCTCTGACATTCTGATTATTTGGGTTTGTTGGAGGTCAGCCGCCGCCTCAGTTATGATACAACCCCAGCTGTGGGTATAGGTCTGGTTATCGGACGTGATTACCAGGCCTCTCGGTGGCTCCAGATTAGCAGTCTGGCCGACTGGTTGATAGCAGTATGGGACTGCAGTCTAGAGACACTAGAAATGCCCATTAATAATCTGGCAGTGACTACTATTATCTCCTATTACAAGCCTGGAAGAATATCACTGTTAAATAATAAATCTATTATTAACAGCTTTGTCAATGGTCTGAAACTGTATATCAATTTTGGCAACTCCAGCTACCACTGAATATCAAAAGTGTATAATTTCTTATTTATGGCATTGGAAAAGCCCTTGGAAAACAGTCCAAGCTAAATTGACCGATGAGGATATGCAAGAGTATACAACATCTGACAAGAATTAATTAAAAGAAGAAGGAAGGGGCTGGCTGAAATAATAAATATAATCATGGCCTGGATGAATAAACAGGCTCTTCGGCTATCCACTCATGCTCCTTCGTACACTGGGGATCTACTATACCAGTAGAGAAGTATAAATTATATTACAGAAGATTAAGCATGATAATCTCTATAACAGACAAAGTTTAGTACAGTAACAAGAAGTCCTCTGCTATCAGTCAATAAAGTTAATCTCTCTTAGATTATATACCAAGAATAAGATCTGTTAATATATACCATCCTCAGCCATAGAAAGACACCAGGACATATTAGATCTACCATAAATTATAATAAGTCACCAGTATGCTCTGAAATACATAAATATCTGGTAATTTGGCTGGAATAATATAGTGTGGTTATTATCTAGGGCATGAAGGTCCACTTCTTTTTACTTTAAGATTAGATGATATTCCAGGATAGATTCTTCTGTGTAATACTGGACATATTATCTTCAAGAGGAACATGTAAGAATTATATATCTATAATCAAGAAACTCATATTTATATCTGTATAATATAGCATTCCTCTAATCTTGCACGCCGAAGACTAATACAGATTTTACCCATGTTTAAATATTGTCCTGCCGTGGGCCTTTCAGTACCTAGCCAGTGCATATCAACACTGTTTCCTGAATAATACTTTGCTAGTTTTCAATCAGAGAATCTGAGGATAGGAAATAATAAGACTAATTCAGTCTCTTACTTTCTTAATTCTCTGGGATATAAAACCAGTACCTCCATCTTATTATCTTGCAGTTGCAGCCGCAGCTGCTCTGTCAAAATCTAACAACTATCTTTGTCATGACAGATCTGCGCACGAAACGCCCACGGATTCTCTGGTTAGGCAGGGATTCATCAACTCGAGCTGAAGAGTCTCGATCATCAACAGAACCGAACACTGAAGAAACGCCAAAACCAATCCCGGCCACCAACAATCGCAGTGACATCACACAATTCAAC